CCTCCTGCGGACCCTCCCTCGTCTGGTCGGCGCGGTGTTCGCGCTGTGCGGGGTTCTGGGTCTCGTAAGGGTCGCCGGCCCTTTCGCGGTTTGCCCCTTTGACGGGGCAATGGGGGGGCGGCTTGCGCTGTTCGCCCGCGCCTGGTCCCACGATTCGTGGGCCTTTCGGGTCGTGTCTCGCGGCCTGCGGTGGCGTTGGGTGGCCCTTCCCCCCTTTGGGGGGTCGGGGCTGGCGGGGCAGGCTTCTTCCCCTGCGCTCTGTCGAGTCGTCTTGGAGTGGGTACGCTTGGGCGTCGTCGAAACGACGTCGTCCCTCAGATGGGTTTCCCGTCTGTTTCCGGTTCCGAAACGGGACTGCGCGGACCTGCGGTTCATTCTGGACTTGTCCCGTCTGAACCCCTGGGTTCATTGCCCCTCCTTTCGGATGACTACGCTGTCTCAGGTTCGGCTCCTCTTGGAGCCGGGTGCTTGGATGGTGTCCCTGGACCTCCGGGACGCTTATTGGCATGTCCCGATTCATCCGCGGTTCAGGGACTGGCTCGGTTTTGTAGTGGGGCGTCTGAGTTACCGCTTTCGTTGTCTCCCGTTCGGGTTGAACCTGGCACCTCGCGTGTTCACACGCCTTACACGGGTTGTGGTGGCTCGTTTGCGTCTCCTAGGTGTTCGGGTGTTGGCCTACCTCGACGACTGGCTGGTTTGGGCTCCCAGCCAGTCAGCTTGCTTGCTAGCCAGGGATTTGGTTCTTTCCCAGCTCGCCGGGTTCGGGTTCTTGGTGAACTGGAGGAAGTCCCATCTGGTTCCCTCTCAGGTTCGGACTTGGCTGGGTCTCGTGTGGGACTCTCGGACCGCCTCCTTGTCTCTCCCTCCGGAGTCTCTCCTGCGGCTGCGGTCCCGCCTTCGTCTGTTTCTGGAGGGCCCTCGGGTCACCCGGCGGTTGCTCGAGGGGCTGTGCGGGAGCCTGAACTTCGCGATGGTGGTCTACCCGCCGGGTCGGGTTTGGCTTCGACGGCTGTTCTGGTTCCTTCGGGGTTCCCCCTTCCGCCTCTCTCGCGATCGCAGAGTTCGACCCCCGGGGGACTTGCGTCGGTTGCTGCGTCACCGGTTTCCTCTTCGGGTTTTTCGGGGTTCAGTGCCTTGGCGCCTACCCGAGCCCTCGCTCGATGTGTACACGGATGCGTCGTCTCTCGGCTGGGGTTTTGTGACCAGTGCTCACCAGGCCGGCCAGGGGCGTTGGGATCCGTCCTTCCGTCGAGCTCACAGTACGGTGCGGGAGTTCGCGGCTGTGTGGTTTGCTCTGGGGAGGATTCGGGTGGCCCGCGGATCGACGATTCGGCTCCATTCGGACTGCTCTCCGGTGGTTCATTGCCTGAACCGCGGGGGTTCGATGCGGTCCTTGTCTCTTTGGGGTTGGTCGCTTCGGGTGACTCGTCTGCTGAGTTCTCGGGGTTTGGCTCTCCTGGCGGTTCACGTACGGGGCGTGTCCAACGTCTTGGCCGACGCCCTGTCTCGCTTCGTTCCCCTCTCCACGGAGTGGACGGTCGACGACGAGTCCTTCCGTTGGCTTTGCCAGACGTTCGGGTGCCCCGAAGTGGACCTCTTCGCGTCGGCGTGGTCGCGGCGTCTTCCCGTTTATGCGGCGCCCTTCCCCGATTGCGAGGCCGTCGGGGTCGATGCCTTTCGGCTCGACTGGTCGAGGTGGGGGTTCCTGTACCTCTTTCCCCCAGTTCGGCTGTTGCTCCAGGTCCTGACTCGCTTAGAGACTTACCGGGGAGAGTTGTCTTTCTGGCCCCTTGGTGGCCGGCCCAGCCTTGGTTTCAGGCGCTGGTTGCTCGGTGTCCGAACCCGAGGGTTTTCCCGCGGCTCCGCCTCTTTCAGCAGATCGGGCCGGTACGTCACGTAGCTGGTTCGATCTTCTCCTCGAGTCTTCGCGTATGGTTTTTTTGACTCGAGTCTATCATCATCTCTATGGTGATCAGGTGGCCTCCTTGTTGGTGTCCCACCTGAGGGCTTCTTCTCGGCGGCAGTATGAAGTTTCCTGGCGGTCCTTCCGTTTCTTTTTGCGTCTTCGTCGTGTTAGCTCCTTGTCTGTTCGGGTGGTCTTGTCCTTCCTCTCGTGGTTGTTTCAGGACCGTCATCTTATGCCTAACACTGTCGCTTCGTATCGTGCGGCGCTGGCGGAGCCGCTTCAGCTTGCTTTCGGTATCGATGTTACGTCTGCGCCGTTTCGCAAGCTGTCTCGTGCATTGTTTCACCTCCGGCCTGCTCATGCGTCGCCTGAGCCGTCCTGGTCTTTGGACAGAGTGCTCGCTTTCCTTTCATCTCCTCGTTTCGTTGTGGCCCCTTCGGTCCAGGATTGTTTTTCCAAGGCACTTTTCTTGTTGGCTTTGGCCTCTGGGGGTCGGGTAGGGGAGCTTCATGCTCTCCTCTGGCGCAGGGGTTTCTGCTCTTTTGGTCGTGGTGATAGTTTTGTTCGTTTGCAGCCGTCTCCTTCTTTTCTGGCGAAGAATGAGACTGCTGCGTTCCGGAGGGGTCCATGGGTGGTTGATGCTTGGTTGGTCAGGCCGGGGGTGCATCATGTTTTGTGTCCGGTTGCGGCGCTTCGCCGTTATTTGCGCGCCACAGCTTCTGTGTCCGGGGACGCGCTGTGGGTTGATCCGGTTTCCCTTCTTCCCTGTTCGTGGGTTCGGGTCTCTCAGGTCGTCCGCAGGGTTATTAGGTCTAGCCAGCCTGCGGTCTATCCCCGTGCCCATGACGTTCGTAAGTTCGCGGCTCTTGCTGCCGTCTTTGGGAATATGTCTTGGTCTGATATTCGGGCGCGGGGATTTTGGCGGTCGAACAGGGTCCTGGCTGCTCGTTACCTTGTGAATGTCCCTGGCCCTCGTCGGGCCTGTGTTGCTTTGGGTCGGCGGTTGCAGCCAGTTGTCTCGGCTTCGAGTTGAGGGGTGAGCGACGACCGCCTCCCGGGTAAGTCCCTCTTTTTCTGTCTGTGGGTAGTTAGCTCCGGGGAGCCGACGGGGCTCCCCCCAGAAAACCAGCGTTGAATGTAATGAAACGCCAATTTCTGGGTGAGTCCCGGAGGCTCCCCGGCATCCCTCCCTCCCTCCGGTCGGCGGTTTTTTCGCGTTTTTGACATCCAGCCTCAAGAACTGAGGTGTGGGTAGCCGGCGCGGGGGGTCTGGGGCTCCCCCTTCCCCCTCCCGGGGAGGGGGGGAGCTGCGCAGACAGCGGCGCGGCAGTGTGTGACGTCACACTAATTTGCTTGTTTTCGGTTGGGGAGTTCTATCCACTAGTTCGGTATTAGGTAGCAATTTTAACCAGAATAGGGGTTTGTTTTGGGGCGCTTACCTTTCTGGGTGCCTGTTCCGGTCGATGGCAGACATAGAATGCTTCCAACTACACGGGGGCTTCTATAGGCCATTGCTCCCCTTGCCTCTCTGAGGGGGCCCGGTTCTGGCCGTGGTCCCCGGTAGGCCTAAGAACTCCATACACATGACTGATGCCAAAGTCTGACATTAGCATATCAGCCTGGGATAGCCCCGGGGAGCCTCCGGGACTCACCCAGAAAATGGCGTTTCATTACATTCAACGCTGGTTTTGTTGATAAATTTAAAGAGTACCCTTAGTAAGTCGACCTTAGTAAGGTCGTTTATCTTTTGTCCTGCGTTGGTGAGACCCCAATTCAGGTGTCCAAAAATGCTCTGTTGATTGCCAGTACTGTACTGGCAGTCATTCATTTTGCAACTGGAGTTAGAGACCTCAAAGACTGCCATGAGGATATTAAATATATCCTCAAGGCTAAAGGCTTTTCTATTCTCCAGATTGATATATTCACTCGACCTCCTTGCGGTCATCATCAACCCTTTCGAGCCATTAAGATCACTTTTGATGGTTGGGGCCCTTCCATCTTCTGTCATTCTTGCCAGTGTCAGATATTCCATATAGGCATACATCCCCTCTCCACACCTCTGAAATAGGCGTTGGAAATTTGGCTGTGGTTCCTCAAAGTGCAGTAGCGAGATGTCCTTTAGTCATATAAATAGTCATCCACACTTCCATGGAAATAAACATTCCATTCACCTGGGCTGTATGGGTCTCGAACCATGGACCCCACGCGTGTGAGGCCGCAGCTCTATCGACTTGGCTATGAGCAGTTTTATAAAGGAAAGTTTCCTTAGTCCCTTGTGTGGTGACCCAAACTACTACCAAGCTTGCTGCATAAACTGCAGAGAGGTCCATCTTGTCGTCTCCAATGCATGTGCACACTACAAGTTCAAACAAGCCATCCGCATATTCACGCGCTGCAAGAGTATCTTTACACTAGGTTTGGCACCAGGTCTGCCTGGGCTTACTCAAACAGTACTGACGCTTGTGCGTTTATTGCACTATTCATCCCCACCCTTCTAGCATTTCTTAGTTCCACACCTGTTTCCAAATCTTAAACCCTGACACCACTACCAGCTCATTGGCAAATCCAGCACTTTGAATTATTCTTGTGATAAAAGTACTCACTGCAATTAAGAAATATGTTCTGCTAAACAATAAAATAGAGGTGATATAAGAGTGATGGCCATATTTTTTTCATAGGAATAATACACTGCTTGATGAGGGAAATTTTAAATTTTGAGCTTGATTAAATCTGAAAATATCTGTACAGTACTTGTTTACCTTTTTCTGGGGCAAGAAAATCCAAACTGTTATCTGATGAGTACAGTTCAAAATAGTCCTATATTATATTTTTGAATAGGCTGAATCCAAAATTTAAATTATAAAACTATTATTTTAATGGTATTGATGAGGATCCTTTGGTAATGGTTTTCCATATTTTTTTTTTTATAAACTAAAAACTGTGTTGAACTCTATTTCAAAGTAGCTTAACTTTATTCATAGCAAAAGTTTGGAACATACTATTTCTGCCAGTTATATAAAGGCTTTTTTTTTCTGTCTTCTTGATACAGTCTATTATGCTTTATAACTGACCATGCATAACTCTGTATTACCAGGTGATGGCTCTAGATAAGGAGAAACACCAATTTTGTCGTGACCAAGATATACAAGATGTCTCGAGTCACAGGAGTCCTCCCTGCAGCCCAAGACTGACCCTCTTCACACACAGCAGTCAGCTCTTTTGAGAGTTCTCAACACCTAGCCTTACTCGATACTCTGCAACTATTATGTTATCACCATACATTTCCATGTTAGCATTATTTCTCCGTCAGACCTCGATGATACTCAGAGTCAGTTACACGCTGCAATATTAAGTATTACAGTATTGCTAATAATGCCTTAGTAAAAAAAAAAAATATAAATATATATATGTCATGCCCAATAGCTAGAACTGCACTTCTTGGTCTAGTATGCAAGGTCCAATGTGCCTAACAGGAAGAATGATTTTCCTTATTTTCAAATATTTCTTTCCATATTAGTTCTTGTCTAACAATAATGATCAATTATATTAGGAACATGAATTACTGACTTAGTTATATTAGGTTAGGATAGGTTAGGTTAGGTGGGTTAAGTTTGATCAAATTTCCATGTTAGTTCAAGTAATATATAATTGCCATCATACATAATACAATGGAAACTATCGTTTTATAAGAAAACATTTGGAAAAAATTTATATTTCATGAAAATTTGGCTTGTCAAGCAACTCTAGCTATTAGGTATGACACATGTATATCCAGAATACTGCCAAATATCCATATAACCAAACATGAAGACAGCACACTCCTAGGATTTCCCCCCCCCCTCGAAGGCCATCGATGAGGTCTTTGATAAGAAAATCGCTGATCTTAAAAGGATGGATGGGAGGATTAAAGATATTGATCATCACCAGATGCCTGTCCCTCCCCAGGTTATCCTACTTTCTGAGATGTTCACCATCCTACAATAGCCAAAAACTAGGCGAATATGACCTCTTACTAGAATCAATGTTAGAAAACGCCCTCAACCCCACTCGATGACCTTCAGTGGACACAAGCCTCTCTTCCCATAAGACTTCGGGGGCCTCTGCGTTCGAACAGCAACGCAAATCGTTCTACCAGTCTTCCTGTCCTCCTTCTCAGCATCTAATAACCTAGTGAAGGAAATTCTACCTGCCTACTTAGGTCAGCTGGGAGGCACACACAATCCCAATTTTATACTAGGCCATAAAAGTACTGTATTAGAAAGTCGTCTGACTTTTAACCCAATACCTGACAGCTCTCGTGGCCATTTTGGGCACAGATATGTCATCAAATCACTTCATCATGCTGGAGCCACATGAGTAACACATGTGCGTCGGCTCCACAAGGGTCGTCGGCTTTTTCGCGGTTCACCCCATTGACAGGACGATGGAGGGGAGGCTCGCGCTGTTTGCTCTCACCTGGTCCCATGATTTGTGGGTGTTTCTTGTTGTTTCCTCCAGGTTGCAATGGTGATGTGGGGATCCTCCTCTTCCTCCTTAAGGGGGCTTGGGGCTGGTGGGGCAGGCCTCTTTTCCTGCGCTCTGTCGGGTCATCCTAGAGTGGGTTTGCTTGGGTGTGGTCGAGACAATGGCATCCCTCAGGTGGGTTTCCCATCTGTTTCCAGTTCTGAAACGGGACTGTACGGACCTGTGGTTCACTCTGGACTTATCCCATGTGAACCTCTGGGTCTTTTGCCCCTCCTTTCAGATGACCACTCTGTCCCAGGTCCAGCTGCTTTTGGAGCCGGTTGCCTGGATGGTGTCCCTGGACTTTTGGGATGCGTATTGGCACATCCCTATTCACCCGGGGTTCAGGGACTGGCTTGGTTTTGTCGTGGGGCGACAGGCTTACCGTTTTCGTTGCCTTTCTTTCAGCTTAAATTTGGCATCTCGTATGTTCACACACCTTACCCTGGTCGTGATGACCTGTTTGTGTCTGTTAGGTGTTCGAGTTCTGGCTTACCTCGGTGACTGGTTGGTCTGGGCTCCCAGCCAGTCCTCATGTTTGCTCGCCAGGGATTTAGTTCTTTCCCAGCTCGCTGGGTTCAGGTTCTTGGTGAACTGAAGGAAGTCCCATTCGGTTCCCTCTCAGGTTTGAACTTGGCTAGGTCTTGTGTGGGACTCTTGGACCACTTCCTTGTCTCTCCCTCCCGCGGCGTTGCTGCTGGAGGACTGCCTTCGGCTTTTTTGGAGGCCACCTGGGTCATGCGTTGGTTGTTCAAGTAGCTGTGCGGGAGTCTGAACTTCGTGGTGCTGGTCTACCCATCACGTCGGATCTGGCTTCAGCGGCTGTTCTGGTTCCTTTGGGAACCTCTTTTCTGCCACTCTCACAATTGCTGATTTCGGATCCCGGGGACTTTGTGTCGGCTGCTGCTTCGCCGACTTCCTCTTCGGGTTTTTTGGGGGGTTCTGTACAGTGGCACCTACCAAAGCCCTTGCTTAACGTGTTCACGGATGCCTCATCTCTTGGTTGGGGCTGTGTGACCAGTGCTCACCAGGGCGGTTAGGGTCTGTCCTTCAGTCAGGCTCCAGCACGGCACAGGAGTTTGTGGCAGTGTGGCATTTGCTTCAGAGGGTTTGAGTGGTTCACGGATCGACGATCCGGCTCCATTCCGACTGCTCCCCTATGGTCTGAACCGCGGGGATTCGATGTGGTCCTTGGCTCTTTGGGGTTGGTCGCTTCCAGTGACTCGTCTGCTGAGTTCTCGGGGTTTGGCCTTCCTGGTGGTTCATGTCCAGGGAGTGTCCAACGTACTGGCGGATGGGCTGTCCCATTTCATTTCCCTGTCCATGGAATGGACGGTCAACGCCAATTCGTTCCTTTGGCTCTGCCGGACGTTCAGGCGCCCGGACATGGACCTCTTCGCATCAGCTTGGTCGAGGCGTCTTCTGGTATATGTGGCACCCTTCCCCGACTGCGAGGCCATCGGGGCCTTTTGGCTGGACTGGCTGAGGTGGGGTTACCTGTACCTCTTTCCACCAGTTTGGTTGTTGCTCCAAGTCCTGGCTCACTTGAAGACTTACCAGGTGAGGGTAGTCCTGTTGGCCCCTTGGTGGCCAGCCCAGCCCTGGTTTCAGGCACTGCTTGCTCGGTGGTCAAGCCTGAGGGTCTTCCTGCAGCTGCAACTTTTTCAGTAGATCGATCCAGTCCAGTATGGTTCGATCTTCTCCTCTGCTCCTCACGTCTGGTCTTTTTGACGCAAGTTTATCACCACTTGTATAGTGATCAGGTGGCTTTTTTTATGGTGTCCCACCTGCGAGTTTTGTCTTGGCGGCAGTATGAAGTTTCCTGGTGGTCCTTTTGGCATTTTTTGTCTCTTCGTAGGTTGTCTTCAATTTCTGATCGGGTTGTTTTGTCCTTCCTCTCTTGGTTGTTTCAGGAACATCATCTTATGCAGAATACTGTCGCTTCATATCGTGCGGCGCTGGCGATGCCACTTCTGCTTGTGTTCGGGGTGGATGTCACTTCTGCTCTGTTCTGCAAGCTTTCTCTGGCATTGTTTCACCTTCAGCCTGCCCATGCGCTGCTTGAGCCGTCCTGGTCCTTGACTGGGTGCTCTCTTTTCTCTCTTCTCAGTTTGAGGTAGCCCCTTCGGTTCAGGACTGTTTTTCTAAGGCTCTTTTATTGTTGGCACTGGCCTCTGGGGGTCGGGTTGGGGAGCTTCATGCGCTCCTCTGGCACAGGGGGGTTTCCGCTCTTTTGGTCCTGGTGGTCGGTTTGTTTATTTGCAGCCAACTCCTTCTTTTCTGGCGAAGAATGAAACTGCTGCTTTCCAGAAGGGTCCTTAGGTTGTTGCTGCTTGGTTGGTTCAGCCGGGGGTGCATCATGTTTTGTGTCCAGTTGCGGCTCTTCGGCGTTACTTGCGTGCCATGGCCTCCGTGGCATGGGACTCGCTTTGGGTTGACCCGATTTCCTTTCTTCCCTGTTCCAGGGCACAGGTCTCCCAAGTCATCCGCAGGATTATTCAGTCCAGCCAGCCTGCGGTCTATCCCTATGCCCACGACGTTTGTAAGTTCGCGGCTTTGGCTGCTGTAGGCTTAGAACATCATTGTCTGACTGTTGCCACGGTCTAATGTATATACACATCAGCCCGGTATAGTTCCAGGAAGCTTCCGGGTCTCGCCCAGAAAATGGTGTTTCATTACATTCAACGTTGGTTTTATGTATGTAAGTCACTGACTACACCAAAATTTAATATTTAAGAACAGTTATTAAATTTCAACATTTGATTTAAAATATAGTTTCCCACGTTTTAATATATAAAATTAAATATAGCACCTGTAAACCAAAAGTTTTCACTGGTGTGAAATAGTGTTTTTACTATTTTCACTATAAACATAATAACAGTATGTACTTCTATAATGAACTGTGAGAAAATATTATTTTTCTGATTGTATTGTTTTGTTTTCAATATAAAAGGTTTGAAGAATGCATATAAATGCAAGTAAATCACTTTATTTCACAAAATTATTTTACAATTTTATTGATTCTGTTACGTGTTAATATGTAACTGATGTCGGTCAACTAATCCTTCCAGATTGACTATAGTGCATTCAGAAATGTCTTCAATGATTTTGAACTTACATGTGCGTCTTCTTTTACTACAGTATAATCATAAATGGCATTTAATAATTTAAACATAAGAATCAATATCCGAGAAAATTTTGAGTATTCTGTCAAATTTCATTTGTAAATTGCAGTACTGTACAGTATCTCTGAGTATCATTAGGGGCAAGCATAATGAAATATTTTGTTTACCACCCTTCAACGGTGCCTTTGTTCCATGGTAGGTTTATTTTTTTAATAATGTACTGAAAATTAAGAAGGAAAGTATTTCATTATTTGTTCCATCTTTGATTTGTTTAGGAAATATTTATGATTGTATCATTGAATATTTTCCTTAAACAGTATTATTATACAGTATCATTTTAATTTTGTAATACTATACAAGTACTATGGAAAGCCCTCAGTCTGTTAATACAATTTCAGTGTTGAATGCAATGAAACACCTCATTCTGGCAGAGCATTTTTGGCTCCCTGAAGTTATCTTGCTCAGATGGCTCTCCACTACTGGATCACATCAGTCACACAAGTCACGTTTGGCCTACCTGGACCAGAGCTAGAACCTGGCCCCCTCATGCAGGTGCAGAGAACAGAAATTATTAACATCACCCTCATTGGAAAGGCATCCAGAAAATCATCAAAGCTTTACAGGTAACTGCAAGGTTCATATAAAACAAAGTTTTGAAATCACCAAATGATTCTGTAGAACCACTCGTTCTACATGAAATGCAAGCAAACATTTTATGCAGAACAAGTGGTTCACTTAAAACTAGCTCGAACCCTTTAGTACCAACAGCTACCACAAGGAGGCATGGCGCCCTGGCCCACAGCTGGCTCGAAAGTCGGTCAGGAACTGATGGATAATTAACTGACAATAGTGGTAGGGAGGGAGGAAGTCTGTGAGCCACAGGGAATCTACCAGAAAGAGACATTTTGTTAATTTCAATGCTGGTTGTCTGGGAAGAGCCCCTTGGTGGCTCCCTGAAGCTAACCTCAGAGAAACAGAAAAACAAGGGGCTTGCCAGGAAGGAGGGGAGTCAAGATCCCTGTTAGACATCCTAAACCACAGAGCCCGTTATCCCTGACTGAAGGGGACAACTGTGAACTGAGGAAAGAGACATAAAGACCATGCATGGCACCAAGTGGATACAAGCCCCAAGGGCAGAGCTGAATGCCATGCCCAATGCCTGGAATGGATCAGTATCATCCCAAGAAGATACAGTTGGAGATGGTGAGCAATTCTGAATGTGAAGGCTTCGCATCCTGGTAGGAAGAGATAACTCAACTGCCACTGCTGTCAAAGTAGATGAAGCTACCCTCTGAGATGGCTGAGCTACATCCTGAAGTGAACCCCTGTCCCTACTCCAATACCTTTGAACACTTTGGAGCTGGAACCAAGGGGTTAAAACCAGAAGGTGGGCGAATCACACCAGCATGGAAAGGAAGAGAAGGTGAGGACTTAGTTCAGGTGGAATTTACCAACGCCTCCAAGCTGGGTCCCTAAACACCATTGAGGGCCAACTCAGGGGCATCATAATGAACACCTTGCTGCAAACCCCCAAGAACAAAAAAATCTTGCCTGTAAAGCAGCAGCTGCCCATCAAGCTTCCTAACGTGAAGCAGGCTCAGACAGAATGGAGACCCAACACAATATATGTTGTAGAGCTCAGGCTTGAAAGTGTCACCGACCCAACAGGCAGCATGGCAGATTCAGAATGACTGTTGGCCAGTAGTAGGACTGATGTGCATCCTTCAAACTCTAATATAGCGAGTGCATGCTCAATGAGTTGATCCATAATTTGTGCCATAGACCTGCAAGGAAATTAGTAGGGCTTGAATGTGTCTTGCCAAACAGGATACCCAGGCACTAGGGCTGCTCATTGAAAAAGCAGACCTCAAACACAGCATGAACCAACATGGCTACAAAGGGCACCTGTTGGTTGTTGTAAGAACAAGCATGTGTGTTCCCAAGCACACCCCATTCAATAGGACACAAAGCATCATATGACAAAAAGTACTAGACAGATAGGAAGACAGGACACAAGCATAGCTGTCATTCTGTAACTATGCTACATTTTACCCTCAACCAAGGACCTATATGGTGGAGTCAACAACTCGTGTACTGCCTAGGTAAGGCTTTCCTACTCTCTTGGCCAGACTTCTCGTGGCAAACTCCCATGCAAATCTGAAGTAACTCTGTTACTTCTCAGTTACACGAAATGAGCACCCAGGGAAGAGGTCACACGAAGTGCAAAACTTGCCAGATCCAAGCAAGAATGCTGGGAAGTAAACACACACGTGAAGCAAATAATAAAATACTGGACAAAGTCTGAAGGATGGCTGTCACTTAGTTGAGAAGCAGAGGGACCTGTTGCAGCTTGGCAATCTGAGGAGCAAATCTAACTCGAGTCAACATCAGCTGAATGGGGACTAGGGGCTCCAGGTGGCCGTTACTAATGGGTTTGAGCTAGTTTAGAATGAACAAAGTTTTTTTAAAGAATGGTCTATAGTAATTTGGCTGTTTCAGTGCTTTGTTTCCCATGAACAATACAGTTGTCTGTAAAGCTTCACTGAATTTCTGGATGCTTTCCCAGGGAGGATTATGATAATTTTCCTCTGCTTCCTGCACCACTGTACTCACAAAGTTGTACTCATTTACTTGTGCTTGCAAGGGTTGAGCTCTGGCTCTTTGGTCCTGCCTCTCAACTGTCAAGCAACTAGTGTACAGATTTCTGAGCCTACTGGGCTCTATCATATCTACATTTGAAACTGTGTATGGAGTCAGCTTCCACCACATCACTGCCTAATGCATTCCATCTGTTAATTACTCTGACACTGAAAAAGTTCTTTCTGTGAGGAAGGCCAGGTGCTGGCTCTGGCCTCCATAGGCCAAACACAACTTCTGCAACTGATATGGGCCATTAGTGAGGAGTTATCTCAGCGAGATAGTTTCAGGGAGCCACCAATTAGGGGTTCCTCCCAAAAGGGTTTCTTATACCCATACTTCTCTGTGCTCAAAGACATAACGAAAGAAATTATATTTTTCTAAATAATTATTCTAATATTAAGTGAATTTGGAATAGGTCATTGATAATAGAATTTGAAAAATTAAAGCTTGATGGTAGTTTTCGGATATGTCTGAAATTTATATTTTTAAAATAGAAGTGTAAGAATTTAAAAAACTGGTTGCTATGAAACATTTAGTTATTCCACATGTTCAGATGTTAGCAGTTGTGTCCTAATGTGTGCAGCTCATTGGTTTTGTGTTCTAGAGTCCGATAACAGTCAAGCGTCAAGGTGCTATTCTTTAATTTGTTAGAATGATCAAGACAAAATGATTTACTGAATATATCTGTATGCATAAATGTTCACACCCAAATTTTGAAATGCCTATTTTATTTAAACATGTATTTAAAATGACTATGCCAATATATAATATCACAATGAAATTACAATGGTGTGATATATAAATGAAAATCATTTTGAGCCAATGGAGTGACTTGAACTTACGACCTCGTGATTTCCAGACACCAGCCTTAACCACTCAGCCACGGTGGTGTAAAAGTTGACCAACCCAAAACTCGACCGAGTCCTCTGGGAAGTTCTGGAGGCCCCAAACCGGGGTCTAACCAGGGTTTTCTAGCCAACCCGACCACACTCAAGCCTACTGTAATGGCATCCACACTCTTACGCCTCAATCAGATCACAGTGAAATCACAATGGAAACCTCTTCCTCATTCTCCCTGCATACAATAATGTCATCTAAAAAGCTAGCCACACCCTCAGTGTTTACGAACAATTGGGAACATAAATCTCTGAAAAATTGCTGGAGACAAGGAAGGTCTAAAAGGAAGTCTTTTTTTTTATACTTTAATAACCCCTTATGAGTATTAGACACTAACAATTTCTGGCTCTCCACATATACAGGAATTTTTCAAGCAAGCATCCTAAGTCAATCTTAGAAAATATTGCCCCCCCCCCCTTTACAAACCACTGACAACAATTCGTCTTATCTTAGGAAAAGGGTACTTCTCACAATGAATGCTGTTATTTAATTATTTAAAATCTGCACAGATTCTCATGGATTTACATCAGCCCTGGTCTCATCAGGGCTGAGATTCTCATCAGTCCTGGAAAGGCATGTGGTAGAAGGCATTTTAGAGCCAATTACACATGGTACAATTGGGGCTGTCCACTCACTCTGTGTAATTGGCTCTAAAATGCCTTCTGCCACATGCCTTTCCAGGACTGATTTGACCAGTTGCTTGTAATGGAAAAGAACTGTTCTTGCTCTGAAAAATTTAAGTGAAGCCCCACTTTTAAGGTGGATTTTTGCCACCATGCTACTAATTGGTTTACCTGCAACCACTGCATACTTTTCCAACATATCTTCAGCACTATTTCTTTTTTCACTATAAACAATTCATCCAGGCCAGCCAAGAAAATTTCCACCTTGTCCATGAGATCCTTACCACATAGGCTACGATTATGTAAATTCACTACATAAAAATCATGGACAATTTCTTTTCTATTATGGCCTACTTTTAATGACACCTTGTGATGGATCTTAATCTGTTCATTATCATAGGCACTTAATGATTTCCCACAGGGTTTTACACTTAATTGCAAGGTATCTACCCAATCTCTTAGACAATGTTGACACTGCAGCACCAATGTCCAGTTCCAAGGAAACATGCCTTTTCTTTCACCGAATATAGTCAGCTTTCCTCACCTGCAGCTTGATTCAGACATTTTATCTTTCCTCTACTGCCTTGACCATTTCCTCTCTCTTTTCCTACATTCCCAGATCGTATCCTTTATAAGGCCTTGCTATTTGTTTTCAAGTATTCTCTGCAAACTTTCCTCAAGTGCCCTTTCTTATCAGAGCAGTTGCAGATGAAGTCCTTAAACTTGCAGTTGAAACTACTGTGTTTGTACCCACAGTGTTTACAACTCGTCTGTAGGTATGACCATAATTTCTTGGTGGTAGATTCCTTACCTTCGAAAGCCCTTTCCAGGTTCAAAATCTTTTCTTACACTGTCCATGAGGCCATCAATTATAAATCCAAGTTTTCTACCACCAGGTTAGGGAAAAATATTGAATTTCCTTCTGCCATGAACAACTGGTCCCTCACCCGGCAGTCAAACTGCACTCCAAAGTTGCAGTTGTTAGCCAACGTCTTCAAATCCACATAAATCATTCAAAGACGTAGAAATCCTTACAGGATTCCTGCTGTGTTTTTGTCCATTTCTGGAAATCCATCAAACTCCTGTGATATGAAGGTTTCACTATATGATGAAATTTAAGCAGGGTAATCAGGTCTTCATAGGTCTTCGTGTGTGGTAACTCTGGCGCACACACGTTACCCAGGACACAGGACACTATACTGTACACTGCTGTACCTAATGAAACTTAAGAGTACTGATTTCATGATTGTGTCCTTAATCCCATGGTACTCAAAATCTGCTTCTAGCAGGCTCAGTCACAGGTCTAATGAGACCTTCATAGCATCAAACAGCTCCATCTTCGCTGGGAACAGAGAAGTAGCCATGGCCACGGCAGTTGAACACACACCTACTAGTCTATAGTCTCCCTGGCCATTCAACACGATGTACTTTTGCTGCCTAACATGCCTCACCATTGTCTTGTACCTGGGCTCTCTGAATCCATTATTAATCTTAATTGCCACTGTTATAATTAGGCAGGAAGAGAAGTGCAAGTCTAATCCGCATGGTGTTTATTGACATCAGACGATGACATCACACTGGGCCATGTTTTACATACCTTATGGACAAACGCACATCGGCTCTTAACATTACGAACCTAATCCTAAGTGACCTTTATCCTACAACATACCTTGACTCTTAGACAGCGGCTATGGAGAAATGGTTATACCTGCCTATGCACAAAAAAAATAAAATTTCCAACAAATAATTTTTTGTTATAGAATTAGTAACTTGTATGCAGAATGTAAAGAAAACACTTAAATAGGTGAACAGTTATTGTTTCACTGGATGGAGGTGTTCTGCAAGGCTGCATGTGGCTCTTGTCAACGCCAGGTGCTCCACTTTGCTGACGCTTCCTGTTTCATCCTCCGATGTTTCACATTTTTTTATCACTCATTTTTCTTTATTTACATCCACAGAGAGCTTTTATATTCATATTTGCATTATACATTATCCATTACATTAAACATCATTTGCATTATACATTATATGGCACGCATAGACACGATAAAGTACCTAAATTATTGGGATTGTCTCTAAGTTCTCCAAATGTACTCACTAGAATGAAGATGAGAGAGATATCAAATAATATACACATGGAAAATACTGGATGGCCAAGTACCAAAACTACACAGTAAAATAATAACGTACTGGAGTGAACGATATAGAAGAAAATGCAGAATAGAATCAATGAAGAGCAGGGTTGCCATAGGCACATTCAGAGAACACTGTATAAACATCAGAGGTCCGCGGTTGTTCAACACCCTCCCAGCGAGCATAAGAAATATTGCCGGAACAGACAGCAGGGCACACTGTATGTGGACATCTTCAAGAGGAAACTAGATTCTTTCCTCCAAGGAGTGCCAGACCAACCGGGCTGTGGTGGGTATGTGGGCCTGCGGGCCGCTCCAAGCAACAGCCTAGTGGACCAAACTCTCACAAGTCAAGCCTGGCCTGGGCTTGGGGAGTAGAACAACTCCCAGAACTCCATCAACCAGGTAACATGTAAAACCCAGACAATAATTGCTTATTGGCAATTATTAATTTTTTGCTTATTGCAAAATTTTTTGCTTATACAGTGGTACCTCGCATAACGATCGCCCCAAAAGACGAACATTTTGGGTAACGAACGGCCCGATCGGCGTCAAATCGTCCCGTATGACGAACGCTGGTTTGAGTAGTCAACACCACACGGTGGGGTCGCGCTGCTTCTTGCACATTCTTAGACGCCTCCGACGATGCACATAAATTATGTTGTTCTTGTTTAAAGATGCTAATGATGCTGGGATATAAAAGGGTGACTGCTGAGATGTTGCAAAGCATTGACGTTTTTGTAGGAAAAAAGAAATGAAATGTCTGATATACAACAAATGTCAAAAAGGTTCGTTCGGTGTTCGGCAGGTAGGCTGCTCCATTATAACAATCTTTCTTTGTTTCAAATGTGTTCCATTTGTTTAGTATTTGTCATTTACGTCTCAATAATGGAGAAGCCTACCTTACATGCACTGAATAAACCATTATGACATTTTCCTTTCTTCAAATGTGTTCAATATTTATTTTTCATTTGTCTTATAGCAAAAGGTTCGTTCGGTGGTCGGCAGGTAGGCTGCTCCATGTTTCTTACATACAAAAAACGTAAATAATAAAAAAAATGAAGAATTTTGAAAACCAGTACAAATGTCAAAAAGGTTCGTTCGGTTGTCTACAGGTCAGCTGCTCCATGTTTCTTAAATAAAAAAAAAACGAAAAATAAAAGAACTGTTGAAACAATTTGAAAAATGGACAAATGCCATAAAGGTTCGTTCAGTGTTTGTCGGGTAGGCTGCTCCATTATTGAGACGTAAGTGACAAATACAAAACAAATGGAACACATTTGAAACAAAGAAAGATTGTCATAATGGAGCAGCCTACCCAACAAACACTGAACGAACTTTTTGCTATAATGAATATGAAAGACAAGGGCTGCTGGCTGGGTTAGTAGTGCCCCCTCCCCGCTCAGCTCGTTGTCGCCGTGTGGGGGCTTAGTGGGCGGCTGCCGGAGTGTGATGCTCCTTGGGACAGTCCTCTGTCCTTTTCTAGCCTTGTGCTCCTGCTGCCGTCCTCTCCAATTCTGCTGGGCATCTTTTCCTTTTCCTTCTGTTTCGTTTTTCTCCCCCCTCTTCTCCTATCTGCTTGCCGTTTCCTGCCGACCTTTTGCTCGTTCTGGTTCTTCCCTTGGACTTCTTCTATTTTGACGCCCGGGTGCTTGAGGAGGCATACTCATGCACCCGTAGAACTGCAGTACCCGACGTCGAGAGCGAGGGGAACCTTTTATTGTCAATCCCCACTTCGTCACTGAACCCGATCTCGACGGACTGTCGGTTTCTTAAGGTGGCGTTTGTGGGGCGTATACTCGCGACGCACCCCTAGGAGGCCCCGACAAGATCGGCGATAGCTTCTTGTTGGGTGTCCTGCCTCTAATTGTGGCTCCATGGTGGGTGTGGGGGCACATTCGTGAGTGAATTATTTCTTTCGTCAAGATGATTACCCCTGCTTCGGCTTCTTCTGGTTTACCTTCTCAGGCTCGTGGGGTGGGCGACCAAGCCCCCGAGTCGGTCCGTATTGGAAGACCGGGCTCTGTAGCCTCCGCTGCATTGGGCCCCGACCTTGCTCCTCCTTTG